CCGGCGTTTATGGCTCCGGAGGTGGCGCGTGGGGGAGAACAGGGGAGTGAGAGTGATGTATGGGCGGTTGGGTGTACGGTTATTGAGATGGCTACGGGTTCTCCGCCGTGGACAGAGGCGAGAGAGGATCCGGTTTCGGTTCTTTACCGGGTCGGGTATTCGGGTGAGACTCCGGAGCTTCCTTGTTTGCTTACGGAAGAAGCAAAAGACTTCTTGGAAAAGTGTTTGAAAAGGGAAGTGAAAGAGAGATGGACGGCTACACAACTCTTAAACCATCCGTTTCTGATAACTAAACCGGAGGCTGAACCGGTTTTGGTTTCCGGTTTGGTTTCGAGCTCACCGACAAGTGTGACTGATCAAACGTTTTGGCGATCAGTAGAGGAAGAAGTAGTGGAAGAAGTGGAAGAAACAGAGGAATTGCAAGATGAGTCAAGAAATCTAGACCGTTTAAACTTATGGAATTGTCATTCGGAGAGGATCGGACGGCTGAGATGTGATGATGGGTTGGATGGGCCCAGATGGGATACGGAAGGTGGGGGTTGGATCACGGTGAGGGTGAGTTGTGAAGGAACAATGATTAGTGGGTCACATGAGGAAATTATATTTGAGAGAACTGTAAGTTGATTTGAAGTCATTTGTTGAATTGTAGAAAGTATTGGAGTTGATATTATTGCAGGTGTCCAATTCAGGGAGATCAATGTAGTAGATTGTTAGTATCTTCAAGTGATCACATCATGTACATAAAAATCAAATTCATTGTTGATTTCTGTTGAGTTTCAAGGTTTGTTGGCCTGCACAAGACAATTATGTTTTCACTATTGCATTGAAATCTTATTATCCCACATTTTATTTTTGTTTTCTAATTGAATTCTCAACTTTAGTCTTGAGAATAATATAAATTTAACTTTAAGCTTTTTCCAATGTCTCAAATGTCTACTTTTCTCAATTATATAATGCATAAATGAACTTGTTAAAAAAAATGCCATATTATTGAGAGTTATAGATATGATATGATATAAGTATATTAGCAAACACTGATCCTAGAGAATCATATAATATATTTCTACAAAAAAATATATATTAGTAAACACTGCATGGATCCAAAACCAATTATTTTTAAATTGTGAGGGGAAAGTAATATTGGTTGGTCACTTTGAACTTTTGACATAAAACCTAAATATTCCTTTCGAATCTTAGAAAATGATCCGCATATGTATTTATTAATGTGTACAATTTGGTAAGCTTCGTTAGGCCAATGTGATCATTTGATCAAGTCTTTGCTATCACTAGTTTCATATATATACAGTTGATACCTCACGTAAGTAGTTAACTACTAATGTATTGTATATTCAACATTCTACCAATCGCTCTTCTTTAGTTGGTATCATTATCGGTCATCAAAAGAAAAAAGTTAGATGATTATCGAAGTATGATAGTTTTGATATAATTTGTTGTCAAATAATTGCTATAAGCAAGCTACGTAAAATTTATCTTGAGTGTGATTTTAGAAGCTTCTGATCATTGAAAACATTATCACAACAACGATCCCGGTGAAGACAAGGTTAAGTAATGAGAAATAATAGATGAAGGTAACAATACTTTGCTTGCAAGGTAAGGTCATGTTCGGATGATTTATCTTTTTTTTATCTTAGAAGGTTAATAACGAATCTTTTTTTTTCACTTTTGTTTTATGGTTTTGACTCTTTTTGTATAAAGGCATAACCATAAATAGTATATATGGGCACTTACCACACGAATGCTTAGCTTAAAATACGGTGAAGGGTGAACATTCCGTTTTTAAATAGCTAATATATGTCTAGGTTAATTAATATTTTTCGAAAAATGTCTAGAATTGCTGGATCCAAAAGCCGTATATTTTTATTACAAGACATATATAAACCATTGTAAAATAAGTTTATTGATCTCTTATGACGGAATTTGAACTTAAAACCCTAAATTCTTACTTGGTAATCCAATGTAATCTAATTTTTGGATTGATTTTGCAGATATATATTTAAAAGGATTATTATTAACATAATAATTATTATTATTTAGGCGAAATTACATGGTAAATTGCAAGTGCAACAATTCACAAAACTGTTCAATAGTGCCGATGTTTGTTGAAAGATGTCGCCGCTGAAGAAATATACTGTTATATCATCTATTCATTCAATGCTATAACTGTCTCTTCGCTTCTCTACGTTCTACGTCTACCCCCCCCCCCTTGAATTTAGGGAGAATTTCAATTATACCACTTTGGTGGTACCACTTTTCATGTTTACCATCAACAAATGAACATTTTCAAAAATACACATTTTATTAAAAGATAAAAGACTCTTATATTCTTGTTCTTTATATAAATACATAAAATAAATACTAAATAAAATATTAACCGTAAACCCTAAAACATCAATTCTAAACTCTAGACCCTAAAAAATAAACCCTAAACCCTAAAAATCAACCCTAACCCTAAAATATCAATTCTAAACCTTAAAACCTAAACTCTAAACCATAAAAGTAAACCTTAAACCCTAAAATATCAACACTAAACCCTAAACTATCAATCCTAAACCCAAAACCCTAAACCCTAAATTCTAATAGTATTTTGAATATTAAAATTTTAATGGTAAAGTTGGTTAATGTAAAGTTGAAAAGTGGTATTTTGAAAGTGTTATTTCTGGCAATTTTCCTTGAATTTAGCAGGATGTAACCAGCTCTCACCATTAACTCATCGACAATTTCCCAGGTCCAAGATAGTCTTATTAGGTCATTTCGTTTATCATTTGATGGATATCTTATCTACTAAACCAAATAATAAAAAGTAATAGAGATAGAGAAATTCGTTTATCATTTCATCATTTGAAGTTTATAAGAACTCATGAGATTAGTCATAAAAAAAAGAACTCATGAGAAACTAAAAGCTCCTCCAATAGTAGTTTTGAAAAAGTAAATAGATTGTTATTTAAGAAATCATAAAAACTTATAAAAACTCTTTTGTCATTTGTTTTTTTGTCTATATACCAGAAAGTGTCTAGGTCTTCGGCCTAGATAATCTCTTCAGACCTGAGATCAGCCAACACTAATACCATTTTTGGCATAAAACATTTCCTCCAAAATAAATCGAATCTGAGTGGTGGTAATTACAGCTGCAACCTTTTTACCACCAGAAATAACTCGTCCTGATATGTCATTTCTTTTCTTATAAGTGATTCATAATTTTTAAATAACCACTATATGTTAAAATATTTTTAGAATGTATATTGCATTAAGGGGATTAACGTACTATTATTTTTGATTTTGAAACTCTTTTTAAAAGACTTAGAATTAGACATGTTCTAGGGAAACAATTTTTTTATGAATAATTAATATTAAAACTTACCATATAAAAAAATCTGTAATAGAATTATTGTTTTTTCTTGAATTGCTCCACCATTAGAGATGTTCGTAGGCCCATCGGGATCATCACCTCCAAGCACTATTAATTTCCAACTTTTCCTTCATTTTCATTTAAATATTAACCTGAATTCTCCTGTGGACTTCATTTTCATTTAAAAACAGACTTTGACGTTTCAGAGTACTTCAATCCATAAGCAAAGTCACACATTATACAATACTTAAAACAAACAAAAGCAGACTGTGATGTTTTATCACACCAGACTTCAAACCACATGCAGAGACACATTATTTTTAGGTACGTATTTTACACAAACTCTCGGTATCTGACAAATCTCCTTATGAGATTAAAATAATCCAAGTCCAACAGGCAGGGCCGGCCCTGAAAATAAGGGGGCCTAAGGCCAATTTTAAACAATTTCACCTAAAAAAATTTTTCTTATGGATTTGGGGGCCTAACAAAATTTTTTAGGGGCCTATATGCATGGAACTTTTTTCAAAAAATTTGGGGGCCCAAGGCCAATGTTTCATTAGGCTTGGCCCAGGACCGGCCCTGCCAACAGGACCAACACGAACATTGATGAGAGGATTAAGCTCTTTCACCGCGTAGAAGTAAAGATCATCAAAGCGACTGTTGGTCTGACCCTTCCCACCAAACATCAGCATCCCATTCTTTCCATTGATCGTCGCAGCCGTTGATGCACACCAGCCACGCGGTTCAGCCGTTGCCTCTCCTCCACCATCTTCCAGTTTCTTCCACTCCAGCGTTTCCGTGTCCAACACGAAACCTTTGCCACACAATTTCCCAGGACCAACATGGGCTTGCGGGTCCATCTCGATCTCACCTCCAACTACAATGACATATTTCCCAACAGCCGCAATGGCGAAAACGCTCCTTGGTGAAGGCTTCTCTCCAGTAGTCTCCACTTTAGTCCACACGTTTCGATCCACGTCAAAGCAATGGACATCATCACACTCGTCTCCCGAGAACCCATAAAACACCCACACCTGATTAATTCAGAGTTATTATGAGCTTCCAACTTAAAATTAAAATCGGTGATAAATTTATATTTTACCTTCCCTTGAACCACAATTAGACCTGCTCCTCCTCTTTCTTTACAAGAATCACCAGGTGTCCGAAGCTGGACCCATTTCTCATCAGTAACGTTAAAAGCGTGTAACGTCCTAAAAATACTCCAACTAAATTTCATTATGGAATTTTCCTTATGAATCATTCTCCATTAGATCACTTATTCTTCTTTTAATCCAAGTTTAAACATGCTTAATTTTCGTGTTTTATGGATAAGGAACCGAAAATATAATTCTACCATAAGAGCTAAATCAATTTTACCATTCACTACCATAGTTTAGTTTTACCCATAATCTTTGTCACACTAACAAATATTATATATTACATGAATATATTTTTTGAAATTAACTAATGTTTAATGTATGCAACTGAAATATAAAAATAACTTTGGGTTTTGTAAACCAAATATATACAACCCACTGAAGCCCAATAGTATCGATTCTAAACGTCATTGAAGAGCTAGTGCGTTGAAATAAATCCCAACCACATACACACAGAACAGCCAAAGCACGACTCTGTTTAACTCATTATCTTCCTACTCTTGGTTCTATCAATGGCTCTAATCACACCACTTCACCGTAAACCCTCAACTCAGTCTCCACTTCTCACGAAACCATGCTATTAAACATCTCTTCCTCTCCAAACTCTCATCGAAATCCTCACTTCCTCTCCACTTTCAACACTCCCACACCATATCTCAAAACCCATCTCTCAAAATCTCACCTTTACCCCAACCTCTCTGTTTTACCGAAACAGAGCATCAAAAACAGAGCTTTCTTCAGAAACAAGAGATGCCTAGACGTCAGGCCAAGAGCTCTCTCCGGAGTTGATCTAGGAAGCTTCGAGTCCGTTCTTGAAGCCACTGCTGTCCTCACCGCGATCGTCGTCGTCCACGAGTCCGGCCACTTCTTAGCCGCTACTCTTCAAGGGATCCATGTGAGTAAGTTCGCAATAGGGTTTGGTCCTATTTTAGCTAAGTTCGACTTCAAGAACGTAGAGTACTCTCTTAGGGCTTTCCCTTTAGGTGGTTTCGTTGGTTTCCCTGACAATGATCCCGACAGTGAGATACCTATCGATGACAAGAATCTTCTCAAGAACAGACCGGTTTTAGATAGATCGGTTGTAGTTTCAGCTGGAATCATCGCTAATGTGATCTTTGCTTACGTCATAATCTTTGTCCAAGTGTTATCAGTTGGTTTGCCTGTTCAAGAAGCGTTCCCTGGTGTTCTTGTTCCCGAAGTTAAAACCTTCTCTGCTGCTTCCCGTGATGGGTTACTTGCTGGTGACGTAATCTTAGCTGTTGACGGCACTGAACTCTCTAAGACAGGACCTGACGCTGTCTCTAAAGTTGTTGACATCGTTAAAAGAAACCCTAAGAGTGATGTGTTGTTTAGAGTCAAAAGAGGGAGTAAAGATTTTGATTTTCGGGTCACGCCGGATAAGAACTATGATGGGACAGGGAAGATTGGTGTTCAGCTATCTCCAAATGTTAGAATCACTAAGGTGAGACCGAGGAACATACCTGAAACGTTTAGGTTTGCAGGGAAAGAGTTCATGGGGCTGTCTTCTAATGTCTTGAACGGTCTGAAGCAAACGTTCTTTAACTTCTCTCAGACGGCAAGTCAAGTATCAGGTCCTGTAGCGATCATTGCAGTGGGAGCAGAAGTCGCGAGATCAAACATCGATGGGCTTTACCAGTTTGCAGCGTTGTTGAATATCAACCTCGCGGTGATCAATCTGTTGCCGTTGCCTGCTCTTGACGGTGGAACGTTGGCGTTGATATTGTTGGAAGCGGTTAGAGGAGGGAGGAAGCTTCCTGTAGAGGTGGAACAAGGGATAATGTCTTCAGGGATCGTGTTTGTGTTATTCATTGGATTGTTTCTCATCGTCAAGGACACACTTAGCCTTGATTTTATTAGGGAAATGTTGTGATTATATATCTTTTGCCAAAAGAAAAAGTGTTTTGAGTAATGTCTTTAGTGTGAAGAAGTTGAGAGCTTAAACAAAACACAATTTGGTTTCCAATACAAACGAATTGATGGTACATATCCCATGTAATAGCTCTACTCTGGTATCCACTACTAAAAGATGTTTATATGAATTGGTATATGGATACTGGAATTATCATCATTGGTGGACTAATAGCTTACAGTTAGTTATAATCTTGTAAGAGGAGGATGGTAAGTTAAAACTTTTAAAGTAGATAATAAAATTTCAATTTAAAATCAATTGGCAATCCAAATCTCACATTGGATATAAATTGTCATATATATATATTGTCCAGTCCCATTTAGTATGAGGTCTTTTAAGAACGCAAAAACAAATCAATGAGGATTTAGGCTGAAAGCATATAATTTCATACTAAGTGAAGGGTTGGACATCTAATGACGGACGTCTAAGATCTAGTTGAGCGTCTTTCCAGCACGGGCATCCGATCTAGTTTTAGTAAAGCATATGGTCCAAGAGTGCATCCGATCCAGCACAACATATAGGTATCAGAACTAAGATTCTATATATATATATATATATATATATCTGGTCCAATCTCACTTAGTATGAAACATTTTGGAAGTAATTCTTAAAAACAAATCTGTAAAGACTTAGATCTAAAACGGATAATTTTATACGAAATAAAGGGTTAGACACCTGATGACTGATATTTAATTCTAGTTCAATGCCTAGCCTTCAGCACGGATATTCGATATAGTTCTAGTAGAGCATCTGGCCCGTACATCACAACATTGACTCAAACAAAGGCTTGTGGTTCGGCAGAGAAAAGAGACCGCATGAGGCTAGTTTGACACCTCTCGTTTTCGACGATGGAAAGATTATGGACCGTTGCCTCCCAAAGTTTCTATGACCCATATGATCCAATAAGCCAGCTCCAGTTAGACTCTCACCTTTTTTAAATAAATAAAAAACAGTGAAAAGATATTAGGTTCTGAAAATAGGAAATCCCTTTTGCCCAAAAAAGGAAAATAGGAAATCCCAATGAAGTATATATAATAGTCGAGATAATGACATATTCATGCTTCCATTTAACTCAAATCAACGATGTGTCTAAAGCTCATAAATTATACACACATATATCTTAACTCAATTATTTAAAAATTTACATATCTATATTCTAAAGTTGTGGTCAATATCTCCTTTGAAGAAGTCAAATAATGAGTCAACTGCCACATCATACAAAACATCACTGAATTATCTACCATTTCATCTGCTAAAACATTAATAATTATACTCAAAACCTTCACTGCATGAGTAAACTAACATAAGAAAATATTTGATGATTGGTTTTAATTTAGAAATGCAAATTTTATAAATTATAAGTTTTCGTTAAAATATTATGATTTTCGCAATAAATTCTATCTATCAAAAAATGGAGTATAGTTTACTGTATAAAAGTTTATCAGGAATCATGTATGTTTTCCTTTCAGGTGGCAATAATTTCAATGTTAAAATTAATTATTTTTATCTAAAATACACATTTCAAATATTACACGTGTTTAGCTATAAATATAAACTCTTGCTAGCTAAATATATAATCATCACTTCATTTCTATTTCTAAGTAAAACATTCAAATGCAATCAATGCTAATTTAAAAAAAAAAATCAAATCGTGTAACTCGTGAACTATGTACAGTATATAGGGACAAAATATCACCAGCAATTTAGTTAAATTATTTATTAATTACCTTCCTCTTCTTTTTGTTAATAGCTATTAATTGCTTCGAATTTATTTTTCAAACATATGTTTATCACCACTTTATAGTGCTTTAATGAAAAAGTTAAAGAATCTTTGAAGAAAAGTGTTCAAATACACTTTGAAACTTTGGGGAATTTCTCTAAAAAAGAAGTATTTGCTTGTAAGACTCAAACTCCTATGATAAAAATGTGCACATATGAAAAGTTATCATGCCAACGTAATTTTGCAAGTATCGCATAAAAGCCCTTTTGTTTTAAAATTTATGTCATCTGTCTTACAGAAAATATAATAAGAAAATCATTACATTCTTTATTTTTTCAATTAAAATATATTAAAAAAATAAAGCGAGAAGAAAGATAGAAATTACGTAAGGGAAAAAGAAAATGAGCAAGAGAAGAAGTAGTGCAAGAGAAAAACGCGTCTTTGAAGAGAACGTCCCATTCCATAAGGCATGCAACGCGCGGCCGTAAAAGAAGCTCAATCCCCTCCTTTATTTATTTACATATCTCTTTTCTTTTTTGATCAAAACATATATCTCATTTTAGTTAATGTTTCTAGCTTGGTCATACTTAATTCGAGTGTTTGCCTATGTTTCATAAAAGACTAATATGTCAGTGTAACAAGTCATTTTCCATTAGATTCCATGTTAACATCAAATAAATAGCTTTGACTAAGTACTATGGATTACTGTATTGAGAACAACTTATATAAAACTGGTAATATTAAAAAAAAGACTAACACATAGTAAGATATAAGATTAAACCACCAAAAACTGTTTTTTTCTTTTTTTTGGTCAAAACACTAAAAGCTGTTTATGTATTTAAACTGATTTGAAAATCTTTATCAGATTTTTCAATATTAAAATTGAAAATCTATATCGGATTCGAATCTAGTAATATTTTTTATTTTAATTTTGAGAAAAGATTTCAATCTAAATAAAAGTTGCAAGTTGCTAAATCTAAGAAAATACATTTACCAACAATATCACTAAGAGTTGAATGGTTTTTCTTTACAAAAAAACATATGGACTTCTCATAATTAATTATTACATCACAGTATCACCAACTGGTCTAAATACATACAATTATATTTTCTTTCTCTCAACCCCTGTAATTTCTTGAATCCCCTCTGTCATCTCTTGTGGAAAGACCAAAAAAAAGAAAGAAAAAGACAAAAAGAAAGCATTAATGTTTAATAAAGCACGTAATAACAAAAATATTACGTAATAATTTATACAAAATTAATATCACTCCCAAATATATACCAAACACTCTCAAAAAGATAATCACCCTTTCTTTCTTGAGAATTCAGGCTCTATACATCTAATTCATAACACATAAAAATACTTATATATAAAAAAATATATACTCATACAAAACATAAACATCGTATACATCAAGTAACAGAGAGAACAAGTCCTCTTTTTCCTTCTTGATCAGAGTGTTGCCGTTTTCTACACGGATATGGACGGTGGTGGAGAGACGACGATGGCCGCTATGGAGGCGAGAGGGCTGAAGAAAGGGCCATGGACGACGACAGAGGATGCGATCTTGACGGAGTACGTGAGGCAACGCGGTGAAGGTAATTGGAACGCGGTGCAGAAGAACTCAGGCTTGCTCCGGTGTGGGAAAAGCTGCCGTCTACGGTGGGCGAACCATCTCCGGCCAAATCTAAAGAAAGGTTCCTTTAGTCCTGATGAAGAGAAGATCATCATCGAGCTTCACGCTAAGTTGGGTAACAAATGGGCTCGTATGGCTTCTCAGGTTAATTTTCTCATAAACAATATTTTTTCATTTAGAATTAGCTTATTATTCTCCTTATTTGTTTCTTCATTTCTAGAATTAAAGAACTTTAAAGCCTTATATGAAATTAAAGTTTTCTAGTTAAACACATAAATTGCATGTTTCAGTGTGTTTTGAATCTACTGTTTCTTTGGTTTTGGCATGATTAATCTTGCATCTCTTCTATTGCTTTTTTTAGCCCTTAATTGTAAAGATTTTTTTTATTGTAGCTACCTGGAAGAACGGACAATGAGATCAAGAACTATTGGAACACAAGGATGAAGAGAAGACAACGAGCTGGCTTTCCTTTATACCCTCACGAGATACATCATCTAGGGATTGATAACGATGATGAGTTTAAGTTTAGTTCCTTTCACTTCCCAAGCCAAAACCATTCTAATCACCAAAATTTGATTCAATACACTAATTCCTCTAATACTTCATCATCCTCATCTTCATCTTCTCAACCTCAAAAAGAGCTGTGTTTAGATCCCTTAATCTCTACTAATTTCGGCCTTAACCAGATCCCCAATACGTTCTCTCTTTACAACAATAGCCTTGAAAATGACAATAGCCAGTTTGGTTTCTCTCTCCCTTTGTCCTCATCCTCATCGTCGAATGAGTTGTGTAATCCCGACCAACTTCTTAAACTCATGTCCGAGAACTCGGACACAAACGTTACCAATAAGAAAGACACTGATGCTATGAGTTATAGTTCATTTCTTATGGAAGGTCATGAGACAAGACCGAGTTCTTTCCCTTTAGGACTAGACAATACTGTCCTAGAGCTTCCTTCAAACCAAACACCGACCCAATCGTTCACTTCGAATATTATGCTTGAGGATGATGTCCATCTTGATCTACCTGCGGGTAACAGTGGATTGCTTGACGCCCTTTTGGAGGAGTCTCGAGCCTTGTCTCGTGGTGGAATCTTCAAGGACGCTAGGGTTTCTTCGAGTGGTTTATGTGAGGATCAAGACAAGAGAGTGAAGATGGATTTTGAGAATTGGTTGATAGATCATCTCAACTCCTCTCATCAATCATCATTAGGTAAGAACTTTTATATGGATTCCAACCATTTTCTTGATACATTTTTGGTATAACCATTAATTTATATTGCATAGAAGGCCTAGTATATGTGATTTGACCCCAAATACAAAAAAAAGGCCTAGAAAATGTGTTAAATCAAGACTTCAGTCTAGATTTTGTGTTTGAAGACAACAGTGATCAGGTGAAACGGAAACTAGTATAGATCTCCGGTAATATCTACATATATTGCACTTTTACCAATTAAGTATTTTATGTTGATTTGTGAACAGAAGCGAACTATGATGAGCCAACGATGGTGAAGACAACAGTGGATGATGATGATGACATATTGATAAGCCTTCTCAACAGCTTCCCTTCAACCACACCGTTACCTGATTGGTACCAGACGATAGAGATCCAAAAGGAGGCCTCACCGAGCGGAATATTGATAGGAAACCATCAAGGTAACAGCAGGGTGGAGCCACACAAGCTCCCGCCTTCGTCCAGTCTAGATCCTATGACCTCATTGGGATCATGCTACTGGGGCAACATTCCTAGAATCTGCTAATTTGAAGCCTCCCCATGAGCAGAATCATTTCTTTTGTATTGGAAGGAAAGAAAAAAAGAAGAGGCTAATTGTGACTTGTGATCGCTTAATTTGTTCCCGTGTAAAAACTTCTTTAAGTTGTTTGTTTAGCTTGGGATGTGTTAAGAACTATATGTTAACAAGATTTCAAGAGACCAAAAAAGAGATTTCAAATGAGATGAGAATGAGCTCTATAGACTTTTTATTTTTTTAACTCATGTCATATTATGTCAATTGTATGCAAGGATTGCAAACATAAATCGAATTTATAGCTGAACAAAGAGATGTTACAAGTACAATAATTACCTACAATGTGGTGGCTAAATACACATGCGTAATACCAAATTTAAAGTTTACCATATCGCAATCAATTAACATCAGTGGGTTATTCCATAATCTTGATGTACTTGACAAATTAAAATTTCTTGTCAGACATTTAACAATGGTATACTGATAGACCCATAACTACATGTTTGAGGCTCTAACTGGTGATCATTAGAACATGGAGTGGAATGGTTAGAAAAAAAATGAACAAAAATAAAATAAAAGGAATATTTATTACTTTTGTTCCATATCAGTTATGATAAAGAATGATTTTGTTCTTTAGTTTTTTTAAACTTAAGGAATATCAAGAAATTATATAAGACAAATATTCCTTATAAATGGTATAAATTTTAAGGAATAAATAGGAATTGATTATTTCCTTTATTTCTTATGTCACTATTTATACCCTAAGTCTCAATTTGGATTAACGGAACGCCAGTTGATTAGCTTATACTTATGTAATATATGAATCTAACCAAGGAGAAGAATTATTACACACCTAAGAAAATGAATATACATAGAGTATAAAATCAGGGAGGAGTAATGTGGTTGGGCAGCGAGATGACTAGCTAGTTGCATCCACTGCCATTGGCTTATGTCATTTGCAAATTATTCCACACTCTTCCAAGAAATAATCTCCTTACATTTCTGCACTCCAAGAAAGAAAGAACAATAAAATTAAGATAAACAATAAAAATAATATGCAAGTAGTCGGTGTATATATTTCTTAGCAGTCATATGCCTTCACCTCTTATCTGAACTCTGACATCACACTACAGTTCTTAGATCAGAAGTCTCTTTTAAATGATCTACATTTTATTTTACTTTATTTCTTATATGTCACTCCGGATAACCCTAACAAAAGAAAATAAAACAGGACCTCAAAATATACTTCTTTTTGTTATGTTTCTCAGAATCAGATAGTACCATGAGAGAAAAGGTACTACTACTTTAAAATCTTGGAAGAACAGTCTTATAAAGATTAGCTATAATATGCAAGTATTAATTCTAGATTCTGGTCTGGTCTGGTCTGATTCTGACATTATGACATAACTGGTCTTCTAAACTTATTTGAATAAACAAATATTTATTAGTTTTTGAAGACTCGGCCAAGCTTGCCAATGAATTATTAATGAATACAATATACCATTCACGACCACTGACAAAGTCATAAATCTGAAATTGAGTGGCAATAATAATATTTAGGGTTTTTTAAAATATCAAATTCTAGAGTACACAATGAAATCACAGTTGCTCATCAACAAACATCACAAGTTCACATCATCAAAACTATACACATAGCTTAAGATGAAAAAAACTACAATTAAGAAACAAAAAGTGTAAAATAAACCACAAATCAAGAAACAACGAACTATATACCCCATATTCTTTTAATTTTTATTCCTCCTAATGTTGAATAATGTTAAGTATCACTTATCCAAAAAAAAAAACTTCGCTCATTCCTTGTGATAGTATGTGTGTGCTAACGTTTTGATGTATTTGACGTTTTATGAGAGAGTTTCACGTTTTATGGCCTTAATTAAAACTAGAACTTGACCCGCACCCCCGTGTGGGTATTTGATTTTATTTGTGTTCACCATAAACTCATAAACTGTTGATTTTATAAAAAAAATTATATATATTTTTATATTTTGTAATTTACATATAGAGTAGCATATATTATTTTATAATATAAATGTTAAATAATAATTTTTATTTGTACATAATAGTATATTAGAAAATTTATAACTTGATGCAATTTAATGTAATTGTACTATTTATATATTAATATGTTATTTTTTGTCAATTTATTTTAAAATAAAACAACATACTAAAAATTAATTTTTTGCATTAGTTTTCTATGAATTATCATTAATTTTATGATATTTTTTTCTTAAAAATTAAACTTTTAAAATTTTATATTTGTCTATATTAAATAAGGTAATACTATATTTAAAAATTATTTTATATAATATATACTATAGATTTCAGTTTGTGTTTTTATTTCACGACAAAGAAAGAAAACATATTGTAATTAATTCATTTAAAGTGAATTTAAATGCAATGGTAGAATTTATAAATAAAAAGAAATAGAAAAGGAAAGTATTTAATTTATTATAAATATAATGACTAAATATGTAAATAAAAGGAAGTACATATCTCTACTATCTATGTTTCCAAACATATCTCACTTATCTTACAATCTTTGTTTCCAAACAGTACCAAAAGGTACTTCAGTTTTAATAATATAGATTATATATGGTGATAAGTGCTTGTGTCGTTGGATTCATTTACTATATTAACGTTTTCGGGCCAACCGAACCAAATGTACAAGTACAGTTAATAGGCCTGTTTAGTTTATAACAAAAGACACGTGTCAACAGCTCTACCGGCCTACGACTTAAACACGTGTCAAGATCTCCATGGGCCCTCATCGCCGTTGACAACGAGAGTGGCTTAAGGTAACCTAACACCGAGGTGGCGGCAAGATTTGGTCTGAACAAAAAACACTAACGAACAGTTCTGATTTGAGATTCGAAGATTACTCATGGAGGTTAAAGACAAGGTCAAACTCGTAATCACCGTTGCCTCTCTTGTGGCGGTGACGGTTCTCTTCGTGTCGGAGTATCGGCGGCGGAGGAGTAGAAAGCAGACATCTTCTCCGAGCTCGTGTTATCTGCATTCCGACAAGAAGCCTCAGTTCGGTTTCAAACGCGTCCTTGCGGACAACTCTTACTCTGGATTCAAACACTTGAAGAAGGCCTCGTCTTCCTCCACAGGTAATTTCAGACATCTCATAAAGACAAGACTTTTAATGTTTATTTACATGTCTGATTTGGACCAATGCAGACAAACCTTCAAACTGTCATCCATATGAAAGTGAGATCACTGTCTTGTTAGAGAATCCTGGTCTTGATGAGTTTGAGTTCTTGAGAGGAGAGTATTCGCTGGAGATGAGTGATTCATATGTGTGGGTTGAGAGTGAGTTTGAGTTGAAGAAGCTTGCCGAAACATTGGCTGAAGTAAAAGTTTTTGGAGTTGATACTGAGCAGCATAGCTTGAGATCGTTTCTTGGTTTCACTGCTCTGATTCAGGTAACTGTTAAAGATCTTTTCTTTTTGTATTTTTTTTTTACATTTGATTGCTTAGTATTTATATTTTTTCTTGGCTCTTGTAGATTTCTACGCAAGAGGAGGATTTTTTGGTGGACACGATTGCGTTACATGATGCGATGAGTATTCTTCGTCCTGTTTTCTCCAATCCTGATATTTGTAAGGTAATCTTTTTTGGTCCATGAAGATGTTCTTTGTTAGAATCTATTCGCTTTGATTTTCAGATTCTTATGAAACGGTTAGTATGTTTCTTAATAATATATGCAAGATTTTATATCCTTATTTGAATATTAATATACAATTGTGCTTTTTAGGTGTTTCATGGGGCGGACAATGATGTTCTCTGGCTTCAAAGAGACTTCCATATATATGTTGTTAATATGTTTGATACTGCCAAGGTACACCTTTCTAGATCCTGACACTACCTTTTAAGCTTTGGCACGAGTGAACTCATTATATGGCAAGATGAAGCTTTCTAGATTGAGTTTGTTGTTGTTGTTTTGTAAAAAAATGTGTGTGTTAATGTAATAAACCAGGCATGTGAGGTGTTGGCAAAGCCTCAAAGGTCACTGGCGTACTTACTTGAGTCAGTTTGCGGAGTTGCTACTAACAAATTGCTTCAAGTGAGTCCTTTAACATTAAGGAATATATATATATATATATATTTTTTTTTGCCATCTATTGGTATCTATGCTAAGCTCATATATTCAATGAAGCGTGAAGACTGGAGACAGCGTCCTCTGTCCGAAGAGATGGTGCGGTATGCCAGAACAGATGCACACTATCTACTCTATATCGCCGATAGTATGACTGCTGAGCTCAGACAACGAGGCATTGGTATGCATCTTTACTATCCACCAACATATTTGTATATGATGTAAACCTAGGGATAACTAGGTGATAATGTCAACTATAGTTTTGGAACACATGAGTTTGCAACAAAGTTCTAAAATATTATTGCATCAGAAGATTCATCTAGCCCCGATGATAAATTCAGTTTTCTTCTCGAGGCTAGTAGACGGTCAAACATGATATGCTTACAACTATACACCAAAGAGACCGAAGATTTTCCTGGGAATGCTGCTGCTTCCTCATTAATTTATCGTCACTTAAACGGCCATGGAGATAACTCTTCCATCTCCTTGGATGCAAAGGTATGCCTTCCCCTCATTGCCATTACGTTTTATCCAATTACATATCAAAGCTTTGTTTTGGTGTTCGCCTTTCAGTTCCAGGAGCTTGTAAGAGAAATTTGTGCATGGAGAGACTTAATGGTAAGTTAAAGACTTAATGGGAAGTTAAAGACTTAATGGATAAACATTATTCCTTTGTTTTAATGCCAATCATTTGTTTTTCAGGCACGGATTCATGATGAAAGCACACGATATGTGTTGTCTGACCAAGCTGTTATTGCTCTTGCTTCGAAGCAGCCAGCTACATCTGATGAAATACATGATTCTATAGCTCAAGCTGATTTGGCTACAGAGTCTTCTCCATCTGCTGTTATTTGTAGTCATCTGGATGATGTTTATCAAATGATTCAACACAAGTTGGGTAAGCTTGATGTTATCTTACCACTAGTCCTCGAGAAATGCTTGGGAACAGATGGAACCTGCCCAATCTCTGTCTTCAACTACTCACTCTTGGTCAACTTCACCACAAAGCTAACTCCCCGCTCTGCTCTCAAGAAAAACGGACATAAGAACCTAAAGAGATTCACTCGGAAGACATCAAGAGATCTCTTCGTCAAGAAATTCTCCTGCAAAGCTCCTGTTTACCACAACTGCAGAATCTACGCAAACGATGGACGGCTGCTGTGCTACTGCGATAGAAGAAAGCTAGAATGGTATATGAGTCGTGGCCTCGCGAAGCTAGTGGAAGAAGATCCGCTTGCGATAATGCTTTTGTTTGAACCTAAAGGACGTCCTGAAGATGAAGGGAATGATTTTTACATCCAGAGCAAGAAAAACATATGCGTTGGATGCGGTGAAGGGAATCACTATCTGCGTTACCGTATAATACCTTCTTGCTACAGAGTTCATTTTCCTGAGCATTTGAAGAGTCACAGGTCTCATGATATAGTTCTGCTTTGTGTGGATTGTCATGAAGTTGCGCATGCTGCTGCAGAGAGGTACAAGAAAGAAGTTGCTTCAGAGTTTGGGATCCCTCTTTTTGTTAAAAGAGTTCTAGATTCAAAAGAAGCACAAGGGACATCATCTTCAGTGGAGCGTGAATCAACAGAAGATGCAGGTGTGTCTCCGTTACATCTTAGAACAGCTGCAATGGCGCTGTTGAGACATGGGAACAGAATGCCATCTAGTCGCCGTGAGGAGTTGTTGCAGGTATAATAGTAATAATGGATCATCATCTTACCGTTTGAATCAATTGATAGAAACCAAATATTCTAATAGTGATTTCAAACAATCTATATATAGACTGTGAAGTTGTATTACGGTGGAAGAGACATATCTGAAGAAGATTTGGAAAAAGCTTTACTCATTGGGATGAGCCCTCACGAGAGAAGAAGACTCGAAAGAAAGAAAGGTGTCTCTCTCAAACAAGAAAACAGTAACAATGGTAGTAATCATATGATACATACTGGTGTCAAGGGCAATGCATAATGTTATATATTGCTATACTGCCACAGGTTCAGTAGAAGGATATAGTGAGGAAGCTCCTCCTGGAGGTGATATGAATGGAGAAATTAGCGTAGTTGGTGATGATAGTGGAGGAGATGGAGTTCCAGAGCTAAATGATACTCAATGTAATGGAAATATATTGCACCAACAGAACTCGAAGCTCTCTTTGCTAGGACATGGACCGCACGGGAAACAGGTTGTGGAGTATCTTTTAAAGGAGCATGGCGAAGACGGTGTTCGGGATTTCTGTCAAAGATGGAGAAAAGTGTTTGTTGATGCTCTTCATCCTCGTCATTTGCCTGGTGGCTGGGATGTTACTCACAGGTAAACCACAATACTTAAACCACATTTCACATTATTATCATATCTGGTTAACTTGAGAGATTCTTACAAAGGGTTTGATTGTTTTGTTGCCAGTGGACGAAGAGACTTTGGAGAATTCAGCGTTTATAATCCAACAAAGAAAGTCTCCACCGGGTAACGCAACCTTTGTATCTTTGTCTGTTTTCTGCTTACGTCTATGTTCTTTTGCCAGTTTCGTTGTCATCAACCATGAAACGAGTCTATTCAGTTGTTTGTTGTATTCTTTTGTAGACCTCTCTGTATTCTTTGTTTCTAGTTAACAGTCTGTTTATTTTGAGGCTGTTAGCGTGATTTTACCTTGCTAATAAGAGATAGTTCAAGAAACAAAAGATACATTAACATCAAGAATTCAAAGATGTGTCTATGGAGATTTGAGCTCTAATTAGTCTGGTTCATGGCTGAAATAAAAACTCCAAACTGTAAGTATTTATTTTCAACTGGAAGTGAGTATTAAAAGTTAAGTTGGAGTTCTCTGTAGCCGCCAGATTGGGAATTATGATCAGTAATGCCAACACGTATCGATATTGCAGCAACCATTTAGACAGACACGTGTTATATAATTTGGATTTGTTAATATTAACCGAAGTCATAAACAAGTTGTAAAAGTAAAGCGGCTGCATAAAAGAAAACACGAAGAAGAGTTCATATGCATAATCTCTAGTTCTTGATTTTCTTTCTTTATAATAAAGATTAAAAAAACTGTTTCCAAACCAATACACTCTTCTTTCCAGAACGTATACGAAGTCAGTGTTTCAAGTGTCTCCGCCATGCAACCACCGAGGCAGAACGTCTCGAAGGAGGGTGGCAAAGTAACCATTTATCAAGGCGTTACACGATCGATAACCAGACGTAAGCGGAACTCATTGCCGGTACCTGATGATCTCGTTATGGAGATATTCTCGAGGCTCCCTTCGAAGGCGATGGCGAGAAGTCGTTGCGCATGCAAGCTCTGGTCCTCTATCCTTCGCCGTCAAGACTTCGCAGAGCTTTTCTTGACCAAATCTTGCGCTCGCCCTCAGCTTCTTTTCGCATGCGATGATCACACGGTGAGAAAGTTCATCTTCATTTCGTCACCTCAACCTGAAAATCCGCAAGAGAACTCGAATATTGTAGCCTCCAATCATCTAGCGTGTTTCCCACGTTCCAATAGATTCTACGGTTGTACCAACGATGGCTTCTTCTGTTACGTAGCTGACCGGTTTTTTAAGGGGCTGAAAAAGCCAGTGCGTGTTCCGGTGATATGTAACCCCAGCACGGGACAGTCTCTGACCATGCCTAGATTGATCTCAAAAGTGAAGTATGCAGTGGACAGCTATCTTGGATATGAGCCGATGGCAAAAGAACTCAAGGTATTGGCGATGAACTGTTCGCGTGTAGATGGTAAGTGGATCTCTGTGAACCACCAAGTTCTGACATTAGGAACCAAGAAACTGTCATGGAGGTTGGTTGAATGTTGCATACCACATGTGCCTTCTACTAAGTGGATATGCATCAGCGGTGTTCTCTACTACGCAGCGAGTGCAGTTAGACTTTCTGAGAATTATTCTATGGTCGTTTGTTTTGACTTGAGGTCTGAGAAGTTCAGCTCTCTCATGTTCAGTAAAGCAATGCCTGTTTCAACGACTCTTGTAAACTACAGTGGCAAACTAGGTTTGCTTATGTCGGGAGATTCTGGTCTTGTTAATGGAGCAACTTCAAGTTTTGAGCTGTGGGTTCTGATTGACGCTGCAAAACACGAGTGGTCTAATCATGTATACGTATTACCACCTTCGTGGGAGAATGTGGTTACAGAAACCATGCACATTGCTGGAATGGTTGGTGTAAATGAAGTCGTCTTGGCCCCTAGCTACCAAGAATTGCCTTACTATGTCATCTACTACAATGTCAAGAGCAAGACGACCACAAGAGTTGGAATCCAAGGACTGGAAGCGTTTCAGGGTAATATTTTCAAAACCTATCTCAACTACGTTGAGAATGTGAAGCTTCTTTAAGCATTTTATAAGTGAGAGACAAGTGTAGTTTTCATTTTGTGTCTTTCGTTTTCTTTCTAGCATCTTAGTTTGGAAAAACCTACCGGTTGTGGAGGATGGTATAGGTAATCTTCTTGTTACAGACTCCTTACAAATGTATATACTAATCCAAAACAGAGAAGTTTAGAATGTCATCTTTGAATGTGTTTTGAGACTATTAGTCTGATTTTGCCTTGCCAATAAGTAAGAAATGGTTTTGAAACTGCGGTTCAAGAAACATCAGGAATACAATGCTGTTCCAATGGAGATTCGAGCTTTAAAATATTTTTTTCAACGGGAAGTGAATATTAAAAGTGAAGTTGGAGTTCTCTGTAGCCACCAGAGCCTGAGAATTGTGATGAAATGCCGTTGAAGGTTTGTTACCAACATTTGGGAAACATGAAAAGGAAAACGTTCTTACTGCAATATCCAACACGTTTTGATACTGCAGCAACCATTCTCAGTTTATAGAAACCGAAACAACAGAAAAAAAAAATTCTATATGGTTTCTGTGCCAATCCGGTCTGTATGAAGCAACGAGTTGTGCTATTGCCAGTCCAAGCAACACTCCAGGTCCATACCCAATAACTATAGCTTTCCAGTTCAATACTTCTTCCTCTTCTTCATCTTCTTCAGGAGGTTGTTGTGTGGGTGGCACATTAGTCCCAAAGAAGCAAGTTTCTTGGAGAGGAAGACCACAAAGCCCTGCATTCCCTTCAAATGAAGATTTAGGCTGCCCTGTAACTTGTGTTCCTTGTGGTATTTCACCCTTGAGTTGGTAGTGAGACATATTTATGTACTCCAAAAAAGAAAGGCTCCCAAGTCCACTTGGAATGGTTCCTGAGAGTTGGTTGCTTGATAGGTCAAGTGACTCGAAAATGCTTGATATGGAAAATGCTTGCAAAACATTCAGTGTTCTTACTTTGTATAAAACGAAATAGAACAAAGTATCAGATAATGATACAACAAACATAAAGAGAGGCTTCCATACAACAGCAATAATCAACCCCTTGACATACATTGAAAGATCACACTCAAACTGAAAACAAGCCTAACGGTTTCTGCGCTTGTTCGGACCAATTATCTTGACGAGCCACTCTGGTTTGTATGTGGCAATGAGGTGTGCTATTGCAAGTCCAAGAAATACTCCAACTCCATACCCTATTGCCACGCTTTTCCAGTTCAACACTTCTTCATCTTCTCCTTCTTCTTCTTGATTAAGTTGCTGTGTTGGTGGCGCATTAATCCCAAAGCAAGTTTCCTGTAGAGGAAGACCACAAAGCCCTGCATTCCCTTCAAATGAAGATTTAATCTGCCCGGTAATCTGTGTTCCCTGTGGTATTTCACCCTTGAGTTGGTTGTGAGACATATTTATGTACTCCAAAAAAAAAAGGCTCCCAAGTCCACTTTGAATGGTTCCTGAGAGTTGGTTGCTTGATAGGTCAAGTGATTCGAGATTGCTCAGATTGGAGAAAGACAGAGGAATATGGCCAGTGAAGGCGTTGTTTGATAAGTTGAGTGCAATCAGTGCTTTCAAGAGACAAATTGATTCAGGAATCTGTCCTTCAATTCTATTCCTAGAAAAATCAATGGTGGCATATGAAGTAAGGACCCCCTGTTTCTCCATAGTTAGACCTTTGTATCGCTAATCTATAGTCTCTATATTAGAATAGTCCCATCTCTCAGAGCTTATTTTTCCATATTGCATATATATATTACCATCTTCGTTCATAGTAAGGGACGTTGCTTTCCAGTTCACAAAGTAACTTGGCGGCAAGCTTCCAGTAAACTTATTATTCGATATCTCAAGGGAACTTGTCTCTGATTCTGTTGTGGTCAACAACTAGAAACTCTAGAGATGAGCAATTTTGAAGAGATCTTGGAAGTTTCCCGGTTAGCCGATTGAGTCCAACGTCAAGTGTATGTAGAGAAGCACCAACGTAAAACGCGTCAGGAATACTTCCTTCAAAGTTGTTCTTTCGGAGATTCAAAAACGTCAAGCGGCTAAAGCATTGAGGAATTGGACCCGTGAGGTTGTTGTAATCTAGCCTCAAATCCGTGAGAGATGTACAATTGCAGATTGAAAGAGGTATCCTCCCTGTGAATCTATTGTATGCTGCAGAAAACATGTTGATAGAGAGTGGTAAGACAGGAATTGCTCCTTCAAAGTAGCTTGTCCCAATATCTAAATTCTTCAAGGTTGAATTTACCAAAACATCCTCTGGACCTTCAAAACCATTAATCAAATTATATGAAACAATCACGGTGTCCATACGAGGAAGGTTCCATAACCACTCTGGGATTTTCCCTTTGATACTATTGTTGCCTAATGCTATAAACTCCAACTTCTCAAGCTTCTTTAAGATATTTGGGAACTCAGTGATGCCGCAGCTTTCTAAGTACAAAATCTCCAGGTTCATTGGGATTTCTGAATTTGTATCATCTAAACTGGCCGGAGATATAATATTATCGGAAAGATCAAGGTGCAGCAAATATTTTAGCGAGGAGAAGAGGCTTACATCAATCGGGTAACTTGTGTTTAAGAAAGAAAGGTCAAGAATCTCGAGGTTGATAAGCTTTAATATAGGCTCTATGATTTTTCCTTCAACATGGTTATTCCCAAGGTACACTTTCTCTAGCCTAGAACGGGTAGAGGAGTTAGGAAATAATTTAATAGAACCGATGGGATTGTTTGCTCTGAGATCGAGACTTGATAAGAAAGGCATGGTGAAGAGAGAAGAAGGAATGATTCCAGAGAAGTGATTGTCACTGACATCTATATATGAGAGCATGGTAAGATTTTGTACCATTGGGAAACTACCAGTGAGCTGGTTGTGTTCAAGGTATATAACTCCTTTAACGAGGTTAGGTTACTAATTGTGGGAGGAACTTGCCCGAAAAAGTCATTGGAGGAAAGACACAAGATTTCAAGTCTGTTGAGATTTCCAAATTCAGAAGGGAGTGATGACCTGAAGTTGTTGTGTTCTAGATCAAGGTAACGTAGGTGGTGCAACTCAAAGAGGGTAGTACCGTTGGGATTCAGAGTTCCAGAGAAATGATTATAAGAAAGGTCTAATTCCGAGAGCTTTATTAGATTCCTCACAAGTGGGAAACTACCGGTGAGCTCGTTTTGCGAAAGGTCTAAAACGGAAAGAAGGCTTAGGTTATTAAATGAGGAAGGAACTTGGCCGACGAAGCCATTACTGTAGAGAGATAAGAACTCTAACCTTTTGAGATTTTCAAATTCAGAAGGAAGTGAAGATGAGATGAAGTTGTTTTGATAGAGGTAAAGAAAACAAAGCTGATGTAACCTGAAGAGACTACTACTGGGCTTTA